CGCAGTAACTATCAGCGTCACAGATAGCCAAAGTAGCTAGATGATAGCTTAAGAAACTGGATTGCAACTTAGTAAAAAAGCCCGGTTATTACTACTGGAACGATGCGAATTGTGTATCACCGATGGGAGTTTGGAACTGCAGAAAATACTGCTGCTAAGCAATCCCTGTGGAGTTCGAACAGCCTTGCCCGAACTTCAACCGCACTCTACCACGCGATGTCCTTACTAAAAAATGCCAAGACCGTTGTTAAAACTTCTGTACTGTTCTGAATGTTCAAACTTCCAGAAGTTCGGAACTGAATGTTCCACACCCTAAGGGGGTGTATGAAGTGAAACCAAGAATGACGTCCCGGGACGTCAGCGAAGGCTTAGTGTGGTTACCCCATGTAACAATTACTGTAGACGCTCTGTCAGTGTTCAGCAGAAAATATGTCCCATCCGAGCTAACTTCCCAGCTCATTTTGCGCTGCCCAAAGCAATGCCCGTGGGCAGGGATCGAAAAAACAAACCAAACACTGCCCAACTCGTGCAGCGACAGCACGAACCAGCTCGCGAGATAGGGATTCGCAAGTGGAGTGCCACTTGCGCGGTGTGGCCCAAAAACGAATGCGATGTGCAGTCCCTATTTTTTTTCGCACATTACAGCATTTTTTTGTTACATTACGCTTTCGGTTTTTGCACCCTAAAAGAAATTTTCCAGCATGTTTCGCATTTCGTCATTGTTCAATGTGCTTTGTTAGCCCTCGGAATAAGCTAATTTGACGTCGCGCGGACGTCACCGAGTGACGTCAAAACAGCTTATCGGGCATTGCCCGTTTACTTCATACACCCCTAAGGCCTGCACTTATCAGTACGGCCAGCTGGTCCCTTCGCGGGGCAAGCAGTTCCCTGTGCTGCAGAAAGCAAGAACCCATCAACGTTGATGAGTCAAGGAGATGGGTGGGTTGCTTGCTTTGGCCCTGCACCTGCTTCGCGGCAATGCCCAACGGACTGGAGAGTGTTGGTTTCACGGGCAGAAGTGCTTGGGCCGCGCCTCGATAAAATGAACCATACGAGAAACAAAATTGTCTCAGGCGTGACTATAAGGCAGGAAATCTGGCAAGCTGGCGGAGGACGTGTGGTTACATGAAAGCTGACGAAAGCGACGTAACGACAGAGTGTGACGCTAAAGGGGGACAGGAACAACAAAGTGGAAATGGGGCACGAGGAACGAGCTTGTGCTAAAAGAAAAGGGAATGTCGAGGAGAGGGGAGGGGATGGGACGGACGATACCAAGGCCACTATGAACGTTTCCCACCATTGCGCGAACGACCCAGATTGGTTGTGTACTGAAATCGCTGAGCCTGGAGGGCGGGAACACTGCACCATATCCAGAAATCATGGAGATTCTGTATATGGTTCACAGCCTCCTCGATAAAATGAAAGCTGAGAGAAGCATAGCATACAAGCACATAGCTAAACGCCATCTCGTATCTTTTTTAATGTTCATTATTCATCATTTATCGGTTTCCAATATTTGTTCTAGTACTATGCATGATATTTCATTCTTGAAAATAAATTGCGATGAACTTGCAACATCAAATGCAGAAAATAGTAGCAGATCGATAGAACCATCACTACATACCCATGTAAAGCACCTGTTTCAATTTTAGTTCATGAACTCATAAAGATGCAAGAGTTTAAAGAAACATGGTTTTGGAAGTAGAGAGCAATTGATGGTTGGAAGGATGCTGGGCACTGGTGCTGATATGGAGGACAGGGTCATGTTTCGCATCACCTGTTTGCGAGTACGAATTACCTCCAACCTACACATGCCTCACTTGTGTGCCACGCCGATCCGCTCAACAGCCACCCCACTACGGCCAAGCCACCATGCTTCTTTCCCTCGTTAATAGCACCTTGCCGCAGCCAGCCTCTCCCTGCTCCGAGAGCAACCATGTGAGCGACAGGCGTTTGGGTCGCTAAAGCCACACTCGCAAGCCCCGTTGCGCGCCGATCGCTCGCGATTACGCGCTGCTCCGTCTGCGCAGGGCCACGTGGCGCCGTCGGACCATGTCCAATCGGAGCCCGGGCCCGAGGTTGACGCGGGGGAACAGTTGGCGGCGAAGGAGGCTCGCGTTCGCGCGGAGGTTTCGCGACGAATTCGGCAGCTGGGGCGGGAAGGGAATGCGTCGGCCGCTGTAGAGCTGTTCACTCAAATGCAGGTGGGCATGGTTTGCCTCATTAGACAGGCACAGCCCTTTCGATGCTCGCTTTCCCCGGATTTACTCAAGGTAGGTGCTGCTTTCCGGTCTTGACAGAGGGTTTGTTGATGGCCCTTGTGACTTGCGCAGTGCTCTCTGCCAAGTGCCCTCTTTCCAGGGGCGGGTGGTGGCTGTGTGATCCTCGCTTCTTGCTTCCTTTTTCCCCAATCGAACTGATAGCTACGCCTACGGCTTATCCTTCGTTAGAACGCTCAGTCATTCTCCCGTTTGGACTCTAAAACCCTCGCATAAACCCCTGTCCCCTTTCCCACTTCCCTGGACCCTCCGCCTTCTCCTTTCTAAGCCTCGCATATCCCCTCCCTCCCCTCCTTTCTCCCATTCACCCACCTTCCCCTCCCCTCCCCCCCCCCCCCACCCCCAACACCTCTCCCGTTTCCCCTCTCCCCGCCTCCCCCCCCTTCCCACGTCCCCGGCCTGTCACCCTTTCTCTGCCATCCTCATCTCTTTCCCGCCCCAATCCCCCTCTCCCCCCAGGCGACGGCATAGCCCCAGACGCCATGGCAGCCACGGCTCTGATTGACTGCTGCGTGCGCTGCGGTGAGCTGGCCCGTGCCGAGCGCACCTTCCTTCAACCTCTTCAGCAAAGCCCCACCCACCAGCAGTAGCAGGCAGCATCGCCTCCACAGCCAGCAGCGACGTTGGAAGGGCCGGCCAATCTGGTGCCTGACGCAGTGGCGGTGGGCGTTCTGCTGCGGGCGTACGGGCGCAAGAGCCCGCCGCAGTGGGCCAAGATTCAGCAGCTGCTGACGCGCATGGAGCTGGACTTCGGCCTGCTCAGCCGTCCACGGCGATTTTTCAACGAGCTCATGGATATCTGTGCGAGGGACAATGCGGTGGACCGTGGTGTGCAGCTGCTGGACCGGATGGCCGAGGCAGGGGTTTGAGCCGGATGTGTTCACGTTTGAGGCGGTGAAGCGCCGGAGGACACTACGCTCGCATTTCAAGAAGCTTTTTAACTGAACAGGGTGGACAATACTACGGATAAAGTATAGCTAATTAGAGAGAAGGGTACAGAAAGTGGTATGGGCTTTGGGATGGGTGGGTTGGAGGTTGAGGGATGAGGCTGACAAAAGGCGAGGGTGAGGGTTTAGGAGAGATGTCACTATGCTGGTGACTTCTTGATTTATCGAATGGGTTAACTGCCCCATTGTTGAATGAAGATAGCTTAGCCAATGGTGGGAGATAATGTTGCTGTTTGTGACATTTGCAGCTACACTTGAAAAGCATACTATGGTATTCCTCCCAGTGTCCGTACACCCCACCTGGGCTCTGCTGTATGAGAGTTAAGAGCTGGACAGTCAGCAGCAGTAAGCCAATCAAACGATCTGGCAAGCCTGCTTCGCTGGCGTTGCCCCAGTACAGGCCAGCTCAGCACCGTGTGTATTCGTGGAGGGAAATGTACGGACGACACGGGTAGGAGGGGCGCTCCGAACGTCATTTTCCGCCACGGACTGACGACGACTGCCCGCATCGCGAGCGCGATTCGTGGTACATCTCGAACCGCGTGTCTGGATGTATCGCGCGCGCAGTGGGCTGCGCGAATTATGGGGTGAGATTTGGAATTGCTGCTCTGATCGCATCTGACAAGACCAAGCGACACAGAAACCACGTTGAGCAGCAATTTCCCGCAGTGAGAAGAACACAAATCGACCACCGTGTCTGGATAAATACCAATCCGCACGTGTTGCATACCTAGTAATTTGAGGTTTCGCTTTGACTCTTGGCCTTCTCGCGAGTACTGTCAGCACTTCCGGCACTGTCGCGGACACACGTGGTAATATTCAGGCTCCTTCGCTCGACGCACGAAGTAGGAGGTCACGGGTTGCGGCGGATCCGCACTTTATCTACTTCCCTTTCATTCCTAACGACGCCGTGAAGCGTCAGGCAACCCAGTGCACGGACCCTAAGTTGGGAACGAAGCGATCTAGCTGCTTCGGCGAAGCGTGTTTCGGGAAGCCGATCGGCTCCTCACCAACTAAGGCGCACGAGGTCCCGCGATCACCTCCCGTTACAAGATCCCACCACATCAATTTTCGCTTCCCCCGACCCGGTCGGCAAAAAATGGGCTGCGGCTGTGCGAGTCTGCTCTCCCTCCCCCTCCCCTCTCCCTCCTCCTTCTTCTCGTCCTGGCCTCTCTCGCGCATCTTCCCCGCGCCATCGGCGCAGCGGATGCGCCGCCGCCGCAGGCGCCGGTGGCGGTGCCCCCAGCGGTGGTGAAGCTGGGCTTCCTGCTGCCGGTGCAGGAGCGCAACCTGGACATCCCGCTCAACCTCGCCCGCGAATGGTACGTTCCGCCCACTATCTTGCTTACATATTCAGGCAGTGTTTATCCAAAATTACAACCTTTCCGCCTTCCGTCTCTCCCTCCCCCCTTTTTTCCCCTCTCTCCCTCGCAGGGGCTCCGCAGCGCAAGTGGCGCTAGACGTCCTTTCCACCCGCTATAAGCGCTTCACCATAAAGCCCGTCTTCCAGGCCGTCGAATGCGCCGCGGAGAGCGCCGCGATCGGCGCGGAGGGCGCTGGTGAAGCAGGGCGTGGCGGGCGTGGTGGGCCCCGCGTGCAGCGAGCCGCGGTGGGCGCGGCGCCCGTGCTGAGCGGCGCGGGAATCCCGATGGTGTCGTTCGCCGCCACGGCCGACGCGCTGCGGAATCGCACCGCGTATCCGACCTTCTTCCGTACTGCGTGAGTGCGGTGCTGGTAGCTAGCTCTTGGTCGGTCGCTCTCGCTGACTCCTACTCGCCTACTGGACTCCAACCTACCCCCCCGACAGCGTAACTGTTGCTACGAGTTACCCGATTTCTGCTACGGTAGTTCAACTTCCCCTGTAATTTTCCGTCCCTGGCTTTCTCCCTGCCGGGGAGAAGAGCACTAGTAGTATGTGCGGATGCATGTGATTGCGATGTATGTGTGTATGGCCGCTGCATTGGCCCAGCTCCTGTGATGCGGGAGGTGAGAGTGTGTGGATCTGTTTGAGGACCATGCACACAGCCCGTGCGGAGAGTGCCTCAAAACATGATGCGGGAGGGTACAGTGAGTGCCGTTCTTCACATGTCCACTCAGGCCCTTTCCACTCTATCCACCCCTACTTTTTTCTCTCTTATCTCTTTCTGCCCTCCAACTCTGCCCCTTTCCTCTCCGCCTCTGGTCCTCAGCTTCGGCGATCGGCACCAAGCGGCCGCCATTCGCAGCGTGGTAAGCCTCCGTCGTTATCCTCATCGTCCATCCGTCATCGTCCGTTCGCAAGCCGCTCGTCTCCTACTCCTCGTCTTCCCCTTCCTATTCGTCCTCACTTCCGCCTTTCATGCGCCCCGCTCCTCCCACTTCTCCCGTCTCCCGTCTCCCGTCTCCCGTCTCCCCCCCTCTTCGTCCCGTCCATGCGCCCCGCTCTCCCCATCTTCTCCCCGCCCCTTGCCCCCCCCGCACCCCCCTCTGTGGCCACTGTATTCCCCCCCCCCCGCGCGGCGCAGATCGACCAGCTGCAGTGGAAGCGCATCCTCGTGTTCCACTCCGCCGAGACCTACGGCGAGGCGCTCGCCTACGACGTGAGTCAGAGTGACAGCCACTGCCGCTTTGCCGCATCGCCGCTTTGCCCCATTGCCGCATTGCCGCATCTCCCCATTGCCGCGTTGCCGCGTTGCCCCATACCGATCCGCCCATTAAGCTCTACCTTCTAACCGTAACTCTCTTATTTCTCCAGCCTCCTTCAACCGAATGCTAGCCCTGTGTGGCCACTGGGGCGCTCCCGTCCGCCGTCGAGCTTCCGCCTCACCCCTTCCCCCTCCTCCTTCCGCCTTCTCCCCCCGCCCTGCTCCGCCCTGCCCCGTCCGCAGGTCGCCCAGGAGCCCCAGCTGCAGGTGCGTACGGTGCGCATCCCGCACCCGCCCCCCGCGGACTGCTCCGCGTTCTTCCCCGCGGCGGCAGACGACTGGATGCAGGCGTCGGAGGACACGGGCGTGGTGCTCGCCGTGCTGCCGCGCACCGCCTCCTGCCTCTGGGCCGCGGCCAGCAAGCTGGTGGGTGCCGGCGGGTGCTGGTGGGTGCTGGCGGATGCTGGTGGGTGCTGGTGGGTGCTGGTGGGTGCTGGCGGGTGCTGGCGGGTGCTGGCGGGTGCTCCAATGTGGAGTAAGTTGATACCACGTGTTACCACTATCAAGCACTGCGCTCACAGGAATAGAGTCTGGTGGGATGGCTAGAGGACACGTGGGGGGGGAGGGGCGGGAGCTCGCCGTGCTGCCCACTCTGTTTGGTGTGAAACACACTGCTAAGAGACGCACAGTGCTGCCTCTGGCCCTCCGGGGCGGCGTTGCACCTCATGGATGCACACAATGCCGCGTCAACCACAGGCCTTGATCCTCTCCTGTCGACCTTTTCCCTCTCCTGCTGCCTCATCCCGATTCCCGCGCCCCATCCCAGAACCTACTGGCGTACCCATGGTGGTACCTGGGCACGGACGGCGTGGCGGCGTTGGACCTCATGGATGCAGCGCCCGAGTCAGGCGAGGAGATGCTGGGCGGCCAGCTGGAGTACGAGCTCGCGCTTGCGCCCTCAGGTTGGTCTGTGGCCTTCACGTGGCCTTCAGGTGGGCTTCAGGTGACCTTCAGGTGACCTTCAGGTGGGTCTCATTTCAGTCTTGTGGTGAGTTGTCTGATGCTGTTATTTCGCCTGTCCGTCCCCTATCGCTCATCCCTACTCCTCCTCCCTCCCCTCCTCCTCTCCCCCCCCCGCCCCCATCAACCCTTCCCCAGCCGCCGACCCCTCGGGCGAGGAGGCCTTCGCGCCGTTCAGGAGCTACTGGCAGCAGCAGTCGTACGCCGCCTTCCCTGGGCTGCTCACCTTCGACGCCGCCCCGCACTTCTCCACCCCGCGGCCCTTCGTGCCGCACCTCATTGACGCGGTGTGGGCGTTCCACGAGGCTTTCAACAAGACCGTTGGGGAAAACGGTACGGCGGCGGTGATGGTGGGGTGGGGACGGGGGACGGGGGAAGTGAGAGGGGGGACGGGGGACGGGGGAAGTGAGAGGGGGGACGGGGAATGGGGATGAGGATGACATGGTATAGATCAAGCAAGCAACTGCTAGTCCATCTCTCAACGAAGTCTTGATCTAGCCCTCTTTTCCTCTCCCTTTCATGACTCGCCCTCTCTCTCTCCCCTTTGCGCCCTACACACGCAACCAACGGCTGCCTCCCTCCTCTAGGCTCGTTCCCGTCCACTTCCCAACTGCTGGCGTGCTTCAATGACTCGCCTGCCGACTGCGTGTCCTTCGCGGGGACAACCGGCCACGTGCACTTTGACTCCGACTCGGGCGAGCGCAGCAAGCTGCACGTGTCGCCGCGGTACTCGCTCATGCAGTTTGCAGGGCTCCCCTGGATGGTACGCCGCTGCTGCTGCAGTGCATGGTGCAGGGTGCAGGGTGCAGGTTGCAGGGTGCAGGGTGCATGGTGCATGGTACTTGCAGGCAGGCACTATCCAATTCATACCCACTCACGAGATTGATTGGGCATGCGCAATTGGTCCATCTGCTCATCAAGCTCAGCTCATCCCCGTGCACGAGCCGGCATGTCACGAGCATCCTCTCACTTCACTCTCCCCTGCTCTCTCTCCTCACTCTCCTCGCACCACTCATCCCACCCCCCGTCCCCGGCCCCTCACCAGCCTGTGGGGGAGTGGGTGGAGCAGCAGCAACCGCGGCTCAACCTGACACAGCAGACGCCGCTGATGCGACCAGCTGATCCTGCTGGAGACACCAGCAGCAGCACAGGAGAGGTGAATGGAAGCCTGACAGGGGAGGTTGCTCCTCCTGCCAGCAACAGTAGCAGCAGTGGTGGTGGTTCCAATGGTATTGATGGCACTGCTGGTGGTTCGTCAGTGCGGCAATCAGCTACCATTGAGGTAAGCGTGCATGTTTGTAGCTGTCCGTCTAGGCGTGCATAAGGGGAAGGGAGTGGGGTGGCAGGAGGGGCAGGGCAAGGGTAAGAGTGTGGGGGGAGTTCCTGCGCCCCTGAGGGTGGAGAGTCCGGGTGTGTTTCCTGTCACTGGTCGCTGCTCTGCATAAACGAAGGGCCGGTTTCACTGACACATCCTCTTCCCTGTTTCTTCCTTGCTGAATACAATTCTCCCCCGGATTGCAGCCCACCACTGCCGCAACTGACAGCACAAGTGGCGGCAGCAGCAGCAGCACTGGATCCACTATAGCAATAGCAGTGGTGTGCAGTGCCATGCTGGTGGCTTTGATTGCTATTGTTGGTGCCATGTTGTGGAGCAAGCGGCAACACTTGTTTGTGCACGAGGAGCCTAAGCACCATATGGTGGCTGATGATGCTGATGTTGCAAGGGGAGGAGTGCACTTGCTGTAGTGCTAGTGAAATCAATGTGCCTTTGGATTTTCTTCGCATAGATGTATTGTATTCTTTACTAATAGTTAGCATGCTGAAGTTGCAACTCTATCCTTACGGGTGTGTTGTATCAGAGTAGAAGAATGAATTAAAAGAGAGAGAACATGTGAATATACCTAAGAGTTGTACCCTATATAAGACATGACTCTATTCAGTCTATGCAAACATAGTAGATATACATGTTTGACACACCCCCTAGACTGCATAGGGGCAGGTCATGACAAAACAGCTCAGGGTGGCACTACTAGTCCAGCCTCTAAGACAAGGGTCAAAAAGACCAGTCAGAAGGAGTACAGACAAGGCAAGAACAAGTACAAGGCGGCACTACTAGTCCAACCACTGTGAGAGGACACAAGTCCAGTCTGAGTGTACATATATATAGGACAGTACAAAGTCAAGGCCCAAGCAAGTGAGAGACTACAGGAACTAGACCAAGCTGTACACAGTGCCGCTGATGATCTTTATGCGCAAGTGCCTTCGTAAACATATCAGCTGTGTTGGCACCTGAGGCCAAGTGTACTACGCGAGCCTGGCGTCGCTGCTGTAGCTCGCGCAGGAGGAAGTACCGCAGCTGGATATGCTTCGCTCTGCCCTCGAGTCGAGGCTCCTGACACAGGAGGATCATGGCCCTGTTGTCAGCGTAAAGGACCGGGGCAGAGCTAGGCTGCTCACCTAAGTCAGCGAGCAAGAAGGTCAGCCAGCGGAGCTCCTGTGCCGCCATGGCACCGGCGTAGATCTCAGCCTCACAGCTGGACTGGGCAACAGACGAGGAGCGGGTAGCTCTCCACGAGACAGCACCTGAGCCAAGGCTGAAGCAGTAGCCCTGGGAAGACCTGAGCGTCTTGGCGTCGTCTGCCCAAGAAGCGTCTGTGTGTCCAGTCACGACCACCGGCCTGCGTCCGCCTAGCACTAACCCCATGCCCGATGTACTTGCAAGATAACGCAGAACCCTCTTAGCGGCAGACCAGTGCTGAGGTCGGTGTCTGCCTGTGGCCACAAAGCGCGCAAGGATGCTGAGAGGGTATGCGAGATCTGGGCGAGTGCAAGTCATCAGGTACATGAGGCAACCCACCAGCTCAGCGTAAGGACCACTCGGATCTACCGACTCCTCAGGAACTGGAGCGGAGAGTCTGTGGTCCAGAGGAAGAGGGGTGGGCTGTGCTGAGGAGAACTGAAGGCCGAACCTCTGAAGGACCTGGCGCACCAAGTGTGACTGAGTTAGGGTGATGGTGCGCGCGGCTCGGTCCCTGGAGATCTGCAAACCAAGGTAACGGCGCAGCTCTCCAAGGTCAGTGCAAGTGTGTTTCTTCAGCAGCTCTACCTTCACGGAGGCCAGTGCGTCCCTGTCTGCAGTGGCGAAGACCAGGTCGTCTACGTAGACAAGGATGTAAAACGGAGTCTGGCCAGCACGAACAAAGAGTGAGGGGTCTGCAGAGGACGGAAAGAACTGCAGGTTAGCGAGGGTAGCATGCAACGTGTCGTGCCACTCACGGGGCACCTGGCGCAGGCCGTAGACTGGGCGCCGCAGAAGCCACTGGGTCCCAGGAGGGAAGGCGCCAGTGAAGCCCTGAGGGCGACGCAGGTAGACCTGCTCGTGTAGGCTGCCCTGAAGGAAGGCAGTGGAGAAGTCGAGGGAGTGAAGCTCGTTGTCACGCTGAGCCGCTACGTGTAGCAGAACCCGAAGAGTAGTCATCTTCGGGGTAGGAGCGAAAGTCTGAAAGAAGTCCACCCCCTCGCGCTGACTGAAACCTCTATCCACGTAGTGCGCCTTGAACACAGGCGGCTCTCCAGGAGGGCGTTTCACCTTGAAGAGCCAGCGGCCATCGACTACGTTCACCCCAGGTGGGGGAACAGCGTCGACGAAGGTGCCGGTGGATCTCCAAGATGCCATCTTCTGCTCCATGGCAGCTATCCACTGAGAGGCCAGGGTCCCGAAACCGCCTCAGCGTAAGTACGAGGGGTCGGGATGTCGAAAGCGTCTGGGTCACCCTCAGGGACTAGCAGCATGGAACAGAGATGGGGAGCAGCCTCGGACAGGAAAGCAAGCTCGAACTGGCGGTCCTCCAGGACGTCACTGCTGAGGGCAGAAGCACCCCCAACAGACGGAGGACAGGCAGGGTCAGAGACCAGAGCAGTGGCGTAGTCAAAGGGCGGCGGGTAGAGTTGAAGTCAGCGACCGCAGCGACAAGGGCGTCAAGACTCAAAACCGGAATAGACGGGTCGGTAATGAGAGAGGCAAGGACCCGAGGAACAAGAGGACGAGCAGCACGAAAGAAGTCAGACAGAGGAGGAGACGCAACTGTAAGAGAAGACGGAGGAGGCGACGGGAGGAGGGGAGGACGAGACGCGTGGGAACGTAGCAACATAGGGTGAGAGCGCGGGGCGGGGGAGACAGGACGAGCACGGGAGGGACGGCGAGACCAGACGTGAGAGGGAGGCGTCGGGTCAGGAGACAGAGGAGGGGACACGGGTGGGGAACGAGGGGGAAAACGAGCCGGGGACGAGTCCGGCGGAGGGAACACGGGGCCGTAGACGGGAAGAGGAGGAGACGGCAAGAGAGGAACAGGCGCAGGGTTAGGGGACGGAAGGCCGAGAAGACGAAGGGCGGACACCGGCGGGGACTGCTGCGGCTGCGACATAACACCAACACCAGGGCCGCAAGCTGCGCGACGGCTACCTCCCGAACCCTCCACGCCGGCACCCCCAGAAGGGACACCCCCAGAGCCCGAAACCCCGCCAGCGCCGGTACCACCCCCAGTCCCGCCGGGACAAGCCACGACAGGAGCCCCGGGACGAGTACCCACCTCAACGCCAGCAACCCCAGAGTCCACGAACGGCGGCAGCGACGACAGCGGCGGCGGCGTCGGCTGCAACAACTGCTGCGACGGCGGCGGCGGCGGAGACGACAGCTGCCGCAGCTGTGGCGACGGCGGCTCCGGAGGCGGTGGAGGTGGAGACAGCGGGGGAGGGTCTGGCGGCGAGGACTGCGCCGGGGGACTACCAGAGTTAGAAGACTCCTCGACCGGGACAACCGACGGGAGGGGGGTGACGTGAGACACACCAGAGGGGGCCGGACGGGGGGGAGGGGGGGGGGAGGGGCAGGGACCACCAGGGAGGGAGGAACCAGGAACAGGGGGAGAGTAACCGGGGGACCATGGTGGGGGAAGCGGCGGTAGAAGGAGACGGACTCGTCAAAGGTGACGTTGCGAGAGTGAAAGAAGCGGTGAGACGGCGGGTGGTAGAAGTGCCAGTCAGACGCGTCAAGGGGGAAACCGAGGAAGATGCAGGGAAGGGTGCGGGCAGTGAGCTTGTCCGTGCCAGAGGCACGAACGTGAGCAAGGCAGCCCCAGACGTGGAACGCAGACGCGTCACCAGGGGACCCGGTCCACAGAAGGGTCGGCGAAACCTGCGGCCGCTGGGGGTGCGGCCACAGGTTAAGCTGGTGAGCAGCGTAGCGCACGGCGAACGGCCACAGAAAATGGGGTGCACCGGCATGGATCATGGAGGTGCGAGCCACCTCCATGACCAAACCGATGCGTCGCTCAGCGACCCCATTCTGCTGCGGGGAGTCCGGCAGGGTAAACGTCTGGGTGATGCCCTCCGCACGACAGAAGCGACCGAGGACACCGGAGGCAAACTCGCCACCACGGTCAGAGTGAAGACGCAAGACAGGGAGACCGCGGTGGACACGAGCAGAGGCAATCCAGGGGATGAGAACGTCAGGCACGTCAGCCTTCCGCTCCAAGGGAAAGACGGTGGTGTAGCGCGTGAAGTCGTCGACAAGCACGAGGAAGAAGCGCTCGCGACGCGGCCCATGGATGGGGGCGGGGCCCCAGACGTCCATGTGTAGAGTCTGCAGCAGTGCGGCGGTAGGGGGAAACGAGGAGGAGTGAGGGGCACGGCGAAGCCGGCCCTCGACGCAAGGCGTGCAAGGTGGGGCGGGGGAGGAGGGAAACTCGGGGAACGAACCGGGGAGACCAAGGACGAGACTGTCCTGGGACATGTGACGCAGACGCGGGAGCGCAGGGTGACCAAGGCGGTGGTGCCAAAGGAGTGTCGGGTGAGTGAGGGACCGACAGGAGCAAGCAGCAGCAACCTGAGTAGACGCAGCCACCTGGGGGGATGTCCCAGCCGGGGAAGGCACGGTGTCAAGTGTGAACAGGCCTGACACCGGGTCCCGGGGGAACGTGGTAAGGGGGGCACCAGTGGCGGCCTCGGTACAGACAGCATACCGCTCGTGCCCAGGGAACGTAGTGGTGACGCCAAGGTCCTGGAGGCAGCCGACACCAACTAGGTTCCTGGAGAACGAGGGGATATGCAGGCCTGTGAGCGAACCCGAAGGAACCGCCGGACAGGGAAGGGAGGTGGAACTGCGGGCTACGACCGGACCACCGGAGGGGTCAGCAAGAGAAACGGCAGCAGGAACAGGGAGCGGCGTCAGCGTAGTGGAGTCGCGGAAGAAACACTGGGAAGCGCCAGAGTCCAAGGTGAAGGAAAGGTCAGCAGTGGCGCCTGGCGGCGGAGAAGCGGTGGAAGCACCGAGGCTACACAAAGCAGGAGATTCTACGCCTGACGCAGCAGGGGAGTCTACGCTAGGCACACCTACACTTGGCAACACGGGGTAATAAGAAGGAAGCACACTAGAGGCATCAGCATACATTACATGCAGGGCGGCTACAATGGCATCCATGTCCAAGTAAAAAATCTGAATACTACGCCTAAGCAAACTGTGCCAGTCCGGGAGGTCGGGCGACGGGCCAAAGCGCTGACGGAACAGGTCGTCCAGGCGACGAAAACAGCGAGGAGTGGAATGACCGATCTTACCGCAAACGAAGCCGCGGCGCGGACCGGTCTGGATCTGGTACTGACAGCGCACGCCTCCGGAACCACCACCCGGCGCACCACCACGCGGCCACTACCAGCTCCAGGCCACCCGGGCGGGAGGGCACTCGCATGCCTCATCTGCGGCGGCTGCTGTGGCTGCTGCGGAGGCTGAGGCTGCGGCGACTGCTGCTGCTGCTGCGGCTGCTGAGGCAGTGGGTCAGCCGGACTGGGCAGCATCCCCTCGTCCGCTCCAGCACCAGACGA